TTAAAAATGACACTGGAAAATGATCCACTTAAGGAAATCACACGGGGACCCTAATTGGTCCAATTTCAGAACTAGAAGCGGATGACGTAAACCACGTCAGACTGAAAATTTGTTTTTCGAAATAATTTCTATGGGACAAATTCATTTGGATAGAGCTTTGCCAACTCTTCAGAACACCAAACTTGGTTGGATAGTCTCTGGAGGGTTATCATCGAACATGCCAACTCATAAATCGGTTTTACAATCCAGCATCAAGGACCCAGCTGATCATTCCCATGACACACTTGCCGCCATAGTAAAGCGATTTTGGGAAATTGAGGACTTCACTTTGTCTAAGCCATCTTTACCTACAGCAACTTTTCACTGAAAGTTGCACTAGACTTGGAAACGGCCAATACTCTGTTCGTCTCTTGTCCACTTCCGGATTCGAATCTCTAGGTGAATCTTATTGCCTGGCTCGTCGTCGTTTTAAGAGTTTGGAAGCTAAACTAGATAAAAACCCAGTCTTGAAAGCTCAGTATTCATCATTTTTGAGGGAGTATATCGATCTAGGTCACATGTCTCTTGTAACAAAGGAACCGTCAAAAACACAATTCTTTTTGCCCCATCATTGCGTACATAAGCAGGAGAGCACGAGTACGAAGCTTCGTGTCGTTTTTGATGGATCTGCTAAAACAACTTCTGGTAGCTCTCTGAACGACTTACTTCTAGCCAGACCAACAATTTAACAAAAAATCTTCAATATACTGCTTCGCTTTCGATTTTTTAAAGTTGCCCTTTGTGGAAATATCTGCAAGATGTACCGTTGCGTGCGTGTTTCGTACCCGGATGATTTTTTGCAATGCATCGTTTTGAGAGAGAGCTCCACGGAAGAGTTGAGCGTTTTTAAATTGAACACGGTGACTTATGGAACCAAGCCAGCTGCCTTCTTGGCTATAAGGGCCATGCATCAACTCTCTTACGATGAGGAGGAATAATTTTTTTTTGGAGCAAAAATTGTTCGTAGAGATTTCTATGTGGATGATTTAATATCTGGTGGGGACTCAGTTGAGGAGGTGAGAGAAATTCGTCGTCAGGTGAAGGAACTACTGTCGCGAGGCCACTTTCCAATCCGCAAATGGGGTTCGAATGAGTCAGCAGCCCTGCAAGGAGAGTCTGAATGCGACAAGGAGCAGCTAATCAAAATTCACGATGAATCGGATGTCGCCAAGGCATTGGGACTAGTCTGGGATCCATCTTCTGATCAACTCCTATTTAATTTTTCTTAACTGCCAACCAATCAACGACCTACTAATCGGGTTGCATTGTCAACGATCGTCAAATTCTATGATCCACTCGGTTTTGGCTACGCAAATCGTAAACGCCAAGGAAGCCATAGATTTCGATTGCACCTTTCATTGCCGGTCGGACTCCATTTTGTTGGCGTGGATTCGGCAACCTCCGAGGGAGTTTAAGGTTTTCGTATTAAACAGAATCGCGAAAATTCAGTAGATGACGAAATACATGACTTGGCATCACGTTGGATGTACCCCAAAAGAATTGTTGGAACATTCCCTTTGGGTTAACGGGCCTCCATTCCTTCTGCAAAGCTCGTCAAATTGGCCGTCCCTGCTAGACTCAGTAAAGGATCTTCCAGAGCGCCGTTCTGTGGCTCTAATTGGGGCCGTTTGCATAGACAGTTCATCAAACTGCAAATTCCTCAACTCTTTCGATAAGTTGCAGCGCGTATTTGCATACATTTATCGGTTCATTTCAAATTGCAGGGCCAAATCTGCGCCGCTAAAAGGTCGTCTTTCGGTGGAGGAGATCAACTCTGGAACTGTACTTCTTTTGAGGAGCATCCAACAGGTTAACTTGGCGAAGGACTATGGATCTCTTAGCCAGGGCAAGCCGTATCCACAGAAAAGCAAGCTGGTTTCGCTTAGGCCTATACTCGGCTCAGATGGGTTACTTCACGTGGGTGGAAGGCTTCAGAACGCAAACTTGGACTACGATACGAGGCATCCGATACTGTTGCCCAAGGATCATCCTGTCACCAAGGCGATCATCGTTTATTATCGTGAGAAATATTGGCATGGAGGATCGCAGGCGCTGCTTGCCGCATTACGGCAAAGGTACTGGTCGATTGGAGGCCGCAAGTTCGTCGCTAGCGTTATCAACAAATTCGTCCGATGTTTCCGAATGAAGCCTGTTACTTGGGAGCACGTCATGGGTAGCCTGCCAGCAAAGAGAGTGCAGCCCAATCCAGCTTTTCTTACCACAGGAGTGGACTATTGTGGGCCATTCTATCATAAGGCAGAGGCCAGAAACAAGACAGCCCACAAGTGCTACACCGCCGTCTTTGTCTGCTTTTCCTAGTAGGCTGCTCATTTGGAAGTGGTCCAGGATCTCACGACGGATTCTTTCATCGCAGCGCTGAGGAGATTCATCAGCCTTAGAGGCAGACCGCGTACATTGCTACAAACTTTGTCGGTGCAAAGATCGAGCTTGCCGAGCTGAAAGAGCTCTTTTTGAGCATAGATATCTTCCGCCTGTTTAGCTGATGGGATCGATTGGAAGTTCATCCCTTCGCGTGCCGCGCACTTCGGTGGTTTATGGGAGGCTGCTGTGAAGTCAGCTAAATTTCACTTCTACAGAGTAGTCGGTGCATCCATCTTAGCCATCGATGAATTAAGAACTCTTGCATATGAGATTTCTGCCATACTTAACTCCCGTCCACTTTTTCCAATTTCAGAAAATGCCGAAAGCCTTGAGGTGCTAGCACCGGCGCATTTCCTGAAGGGTTCCAGCAACACTAAGTTTCCTGAACCTGACATTACTCATCTTCGCGAAGGCCGCCTCAGCATATGGCGGCGGGTGACCCAGATGCAACAACATTTCTGGAAAAGGTGGAGCAGCGAGTATTTGTCCATACTTCAACGTCTAATATCAAGGTTGGAAGCATAGTTTTGCTGAAGAAGGACAACGTTCCACCCTTGAGATGGCAGCTTGGGTGCATCCAGGAAGTCATACCCGGCGGGGACGGAGTCATCAGAGTTGCTATGGTCCGTACAGCTACGGGTCTGATCAAGAGAGCCGTCGTGAACAAATTTTCCTTTGGTTTATGTTATTTAATTCATAGAAATGTATTTTTATACTTTTTTCCTAATATGTTAGATTAACTAATACTGATACTGATACTGTAATACTGAACTGAAATTCAAACATTTTTTCGTTTCGTGGACAAGTTTATCTTTCGTTTACGTTAGTTTATTTATAGAAATGTATGTAGAAATGTATATTCGTATTTTTGTTCCCTAATATGTAATATTAATCAATACTAAACTGAAAATTAATTTTATTTCGATTATATTATTATTATAACGTGTATTTCTAATGGAACACAAAATCTATGAAGCGGAAACCATGTGTACAACCCTCTGTGTGAACAGGCAATTACCTTAAAAATGGCACACAATATTTATTAAACCATATAACTTATGAGCGTTTTTTTCTAATGCATATGTACTCTTCATTTTCAGGCAAACTTTTTTGGTTTGGACTGCGTTCATAATTAATAAGAAAATAATCATTTATTTACTCAAGTGCTACGAAAGATTCTATAGTTTGAATCATCGACGATAGGCAAAGAAATATTAAAAATACTGAAAGTACCAAACATACCCTATGCATAGCCCATGTAATAGCCTTTGCTCACAGGCGCATTAAATTGTTGTTGCACTTGCTGCTGCAATTTTAAGCAGCTGTGTGCAAAAGCTGTTACATAGGGTTTTTTACAAAAGGTTTTGCAAAGGGATCTAGAGGTGGGCATTTGATCGGTAATTGCAGCAGCGATTTTAAGCGGATTTCTGTTCACATAGAGAATCGCTGAAGCGAACAGCTGATCGGCATAAGCAAACCGTACCCGAAGGGAGAGGACGTGTGATCTCAAGTGCTCCGAAAAAAGTGGAAAATAACGCAAGAGTAAATACAATTTGAACGCGAGCATTTGGCATGTTTCAGCGACAGCTTATTATGTCATTGCTATTAGCAAATTGATCAAGGATGAGATTTTCATTCAGGCAAGCCGAGTGAAATGAATACGGACTATTGTGGGCCAATAGTAACACCACAAGAATTTTCACAAGTTAATTAAGTATTTATAACACCTTCCTGGCATACTGTTCCTTGACTATATAAATTTTTAAGGGAGGGGGATGCGCCTACAAATGTTTTTTTCCTTAGATAAATAATGTATGGTCTTTTCCTTAAAAAGAGCATAGCAATGTTACATTTTAAGATGAGATCAATTGCTGTGTTCCAAGACGACGGGAGGCGCCTTAGGCCTGCATTTCATTGCATTGGAGTTCAGATGCATATCCTTCTCAAAAAAACCCCGAAACGCCAAGTACTAAAATCACCTAAGCTCCAAAAAAATTTATAAAACGCTGAAATATTTAACCGATTTGCGTGTGCGCTCCTATTTTTTGCCGCAGCGAGTTGTAGTGACTTACCGCCGCTGTTGCATAAGCTTCTAAAACCTAGGAAGAAGAAGGCATATTAAATATAAAATTTTGTATATGCAAAATACTCCCAAATAGAAATCCTTTTTGATATTTTTACTGAATTGGAATTAATACTGCACATTATGCAGCCGTATGACCGATATGGGATTTTCCAAAACAGGGACAAACACAAATCTACAAAAAAAAGGCATATAACTTTCTGTCTAAATTGGCCATAGAAGGCAAAGATAAATATATGGAATGTTAATAAATTAAAAATAATACATTTTTAAACTACCAGCCGTTGCTAAATATTGAACGATTTACTTTTTGTGGAAAACATTTTGATGTACCACAAAAATTGGCCGACGATGGATTGGCCACATATAAGTTGCGGAATACCGTGATGGTTGCGCCGCCTGTTTGAACAGGCTATAATAGACAAGAATATCACAGTTATGAAGGGTTAGGTTGTAGATGTTAAGTAATTTATTTTTGAAAGTGTTTTTTGTTTTATAAACTAAGGCCCCACTAAATTTATAATTATTTTAAGGTAAAAGGATTATTTGCAGTTAATCAATAGATTTAGGCATGTACAAAATCGCAAGTACAAATTCTTGAAGCACAAAGAATATTTTGTGAAAATAAGTTCATTCATACGTATGAATATAAATACAATTTATATTGACAAATAAGGACATCTGGGTTATTCAGCAATAACAAGTTTATAGCATACTTTGCGGAAGAACGTATGTAAGTAAATCAAAAAAAGTTTTAAAATACAGATGAACACACATTTTCCACGACTGAAAAAATAGAACCGTGTAGTGAATTTACTGTGGTACCCTTCAAGTCTGTGAAACTCTTAGACAATAAATTGTTTTTAAAATAACAAACCTAGGAGTGTCGTTTCAAGGAAAATGGGTATTCGATTATATTAGATGGTCATTGAAATTTTTTTTTTTTTGGAAATGCAGTACAAGTTTTCTTTGAATTTCAACCGTGGAGATTTGTTCTATGAAACCCCCGATTAAAGCAACTAATTAGTAAATTGCCTCAGTTTATAACAACCTTAACCCTTTAAGGGGGCCTCTTCCATGTCGTCTAGTACTTATGTTTTTTTTTTAAGATTTTTTTCCGCAGAATCATACGGTGGCCCACAGCTGGTTAGCGGAGGATTTAAAGAGAATATTTGAATGACCAAGGTATCAAATAAATGGTACAAGTGTCTAAAATAAGATTTACCTACAACTTATATTTAAAATACGCTTCAGACTGGGTCAAACGTAAAAAACGTAAAATGCATTTTTTTACAGAAGAGCTTATTTGATGCAGTCCTAAAAATGTAAACTAAGTATTTTGGTGTAAAATGTAATTTTAAAGCTTACAAATCTAAGAATAATAAATTAATTTTCCTTATTACCTAGAAAACAACACAAGTAACAAGCATGTAAGACTGGGTCAAGTTAGCTGTATTGTAAAAAATTGTGTTTTTCGATTTTTGACATTTAACCTAGTCTTTGACGGAGTTTGAATACAAGTATGGGTAAATCTTATTCTAGGTACTTGTATCTTTCATTTTAAACCTCGGTCATTCAAAAAATCCCTTAAAATCCACCGCTAACTAGCTTCAAAGCTTGAAGTATGTAATGCATAATTTAATTAAATTATTTGAAGTTAAGAAAATGAAAACTTTTCGTTGTAGAGCTATTCAAAGGAACTTAAAGTAATAGTACTTTAACGGGAGCTACGATTTTGGCCGAAAAGACTATTTATCTAGATGAATCTAGTTTTCGTACGAACTAAACCAATTCAGAACAAGAGAGAATGCTACAGTTGAGTGCCTCTAGTATCAGATACCCGTTACTCAGCTAATTAGCTACTTAATATAGTTTAAACATTGTATCTACTTTTAATTTTCTCTTATATATACTGGCTTTGACTTCTTTCTAGGTAACTGCGTAAAACTATTTCTCATTAACAATGTCAACTTCCTTTTGTCTTGAAATAAAATTAAATTTATTTTAAATTGGAACCTTTCAAAATGTGTGCGCCATATTTATGGGCGTTAGATAGGGCGAGGAACTCTACTGAAATAAACGTGCGATGCGCAAGAATCTCTAGAATCTACATGCTTAATTTCTAGCTTTTATAGTTACCGATATATCAGCTTTCACATGGACTATTTTTGTTGGTTTGTGGGCGTTAGAGTGGGTGTGTCATTTTGCTGAAACGAAATTGCGCTGCCCAGGAATCTCTTGAATCTGCAACATTGTAGCTTTTATAGTTTCCGAGATCACAGCGTTTGTGTGGACGGACGGACATCGATCGACTCGGCTAGTAATCCAGGTCAAGAATATATATTTTATGGGGTCAGAAGAGCTTCTTTCTACCTGTTACATTCCTTCCGACGAATATAGTATACGCGTTTACTATTTAAAAATGGTAATTTGGAGCGACTTCAAAATTTTGTTTGCTACATTTTTTTTATTCTTGCTGGAATATAAATAAATTGCGTGACTTATTCTAATTGTTTTAGGTAACTCGATAGCCACATGTTTGCTGAATATATTCTATTAATATGAAAGCGATCAGTCAAGTCGATTTTGAGTTTCATGGCTACCAGTTAAAACTTGGGTTTTAAAATATCCTTTTAGCTACAAATTTTATAAAATATTAATGCAACCAATCCTTTTGCTATTTTTGGAAACTAAACATTGGGGTTTTCACGACCACTTATCATTGAACAGCTGTAATTGTCCGACAACAATGGAAAGATTTAAAATAAAAAATTGATTGTGAGAAAGAGCGGTGAAAATTGAAAATACTTGTCGAATGACAAATATTTTAATAAATTTCTATGGTCCGTTCAAAAGGTGATTCAAAAATTATTATCACAGTGGACCATTTAGTGACGAAGCGGACCAGGAGACTGTGCGAAAACAACTACTATATATACACGAAGGAATTAAAATCTGTAGTGATGGTCCGACCATAACGAACGCATACCAATATTTAAAAAATTTATTATGTTTGGAAGAAAGAGTCGTGAAAGTGAAAATATTAAAAAATTTGAGCTGTTGGGGTCTGTGGCCGCGTCAAATGGCACGTCATTTGTTAAGATCCAATACCCCATTCAAAAATTGGGCTTAGTCATTTGTCTTAGGGACTTTATGGGTGTATTTTGAAGCTTGAGATATACAACTTTTGTTATACGACTTTTGGAAAAACCCGCTAGTTCAGCAGGAAATCCAGAAAAAATACAGATTTTCGAGGCTTATAGTTTCTAAACAAAGCTACACATACATGCTATAAGTGGCTGAAAAGGTTATTCAATATGCTAGTTACGCTTAAATTGTCCAATACAATAGATTGAAAGTTATAAGTAAAAAAACTTCGAAATTTGTTCGAACGATTTCTTAATAACTTTTAAACTGTATGTATATCCTTTGAAATTTCCGAGCTTTTGTTCTGTAACACATACATACATAAAAACTACCGTTTGGAAGATATTGAGCCATGAAAAGTGCTGCCCGTTTCAGTTCAGTATACAGCTGTGTTCATTGGAAAAGCAGGGCATAAGACCTGCACGTATAAAATCGAAAAACACTATTATAAACACAACATTGAAACAAAACTTAAAAGCAACAGTTTTAATTATTTATTTTTAAATAATTTAGCTGTTTTTCCTGTTGGGTACTTCAATATTTTATCAAATATGGATAATATCAAAAAAGAAAGACTGAATTATGGTGTTCATTGAAGTAGCATTCTTAAAAGAAAAATATGATAAAATTCAATATGGCTCATAAATAACTTAATCCTACTAAATATTGATTTGATTACGACCAAATATTTTGTTGTATAGCCTTTATTAGCTATTACAGGCTAACACCTACGTGGCATGGAGTCCACGAAGTCCTTGCAACGTTTGCGGGAAATCTGACCCCATCCTCCTGCACAACTTGCCAAAGCTGCGGCTCCGACTTCTAAGTCGGAGATTTCTTGGCAACATAACGCTTATGTCCCTCGATAAGTTCTCAATCGGATTTAAATCCGGGGACGTCAATTTGTTTTTGGCTAAACCATTCCTAGGCCAATTTGTTGGTGTGTTTAGAATCATTGTCCTGCTGAAATGTCCATATTAAGGACATTTCATCATCAGTATACGACAGAATGACGTTTCTCAGTATATTTACGTAAACATGTTGGCCCATGATCTCATCGATCAAACTTATGGGGCCCACACCGCTGTATGAGAAACATGCCCATACCATGATTTTAAGGCCACCTGCTTAACGGTCTTGAGATTTTGTTTTGGGTGGTACCCGGTGTTTGGTGGTCGACGGACATACTATTTTGAACCTGTTCCAACAAAAAACACCAGCTAAGACTCATCTGTCCAAAGGATATATCGACCTTTTGAAAGTGGCTAGTTCAAGTGGCATTTGGCAAACTTCAACCTGTCTTTGGGGTGTCTTTTACCAAGTAATGGCTCCTTTGGTAAATTTCTAGCATTCAAATTTTCATCGAACAGACTTCGGAGAATAGTGCCATCCCGGATTCCCAAGCTCAGATCCGCCTTTTGCTGAAGCGCACTTCGCGAACGTGCTCTATAATTGTGGTTTTCCGTATCGCATAACGTTTTTCGGGCTTCGGTTCATAATTTATGGCATTGTAACCCATATTGGCTGTACATTTTAAGGGACACTGAATATATTGATACGTTTTGCCCTCCTTTCTAAGCTCAATCAATTTTTCCTTTCTCCCTTGAAGCAATGAGGTCCTCTACCCACTAAAGTTAATTATACCCGGTCGTTTCCGACCCCATAAAGTGTATATATTCTTGATCAGGATCACTAGCCGAGTCGATCTAGCCATGTCCGTCTGACCGTCTGTCCGTATGAACGCTGAAATCTCGGAAACTATAGGACCTACTATACTGGGATTAGGCTTGCAGATTCCTGAGATCCCTGCGCAGCGCAAGTTTGTTTCAGCAATGTGCCACGCCCACTCTAACGTCCACAAACCGCCGAAAACTGTGGCTCCTACAGTTTCGATGCTAGAGTAAAAATTTTAACTGAAATTTATTGATCTTATCAATCCCTATCGATTGACCAAAAAAAAAAGTTTGCCACGCCTACTTTAACGCCCACAAACCGCCCACAAGCTTAAAAAATCGTAAATATGAACGCGTATATTTAGGAAACTATCAAAGATAGTGAAATGGGATCTTAGATTTAAATTCCGAAGCCTTGTACGCAGCGCAAGTTTGTTACGCGAATATGTCACGCCCGCTCTTACGCCCACAAACCGCACAAACCTGTGGCGCCCACAATTTTCATGCTAGATACAAAATGTTAACTGAAATGTATTATTCTCCTCAGTACCTATCGATTGATTAAAAAAAATAAAATTGCCACGCCCACTCTAACGCCTACAAACCGACCAAACCTGTGGCGCCCTAATGCCCTAACGGGGTTTTTGCTTGTTTTGTATCTCTATGATCCATTCTACAAAAGAAATGTACTAGCGATCAACTAACGAAAAGGACTATGCTAATAAACCGTTATATAGTTTCGCTTCTGTCGCACTGCTATTTTAATGAACACAGCTGTATATGCTACTTTAATCGACTCGACTATCAGATACCCGTTTTTCAGCTAAAAGGAGTGCAAGAGAGAAACAAAACATTTAAACATTTTTTGGCACGTAGATGGGTATTGATAATAAGAAGAAAATTGCATATACAC